CCCCACCTCCTAAAACCAGTATGATTATTGTAAGCTCCCTTTAGGAAGGAAGGAAGGAAGGAAGGAAGGAAGGAAGGAAGGAAGGAAGGAAGAACGGGAGGAAGGAAGGAAGGAAAATTGTGTAATACTGTACAGATAAAAGAAGAAAAATGAATTGCTGCCTCTTGATAAGTAAAAAGCAGTTATCATAATATTCATTTATTCATTCATCTACATCCTGCCTTTATTGTTTTTACAAATAAAACATATCCAACATACTAATATGTTTTAACTGTGAACATGAGATAAGTTTGTTTTGTAATTTTGCATTTGGAGAACATTCTTTGTTAATTTACAGATAGTCCTCAACTTACAACAGTACATATAGTGACTGGTCAAAGTTACAATGGCATTGAAAAAATGATTTACGACCATTTTTCACACTTATGACTGTTTCAGCATCCTCATGGTCACATGGTAAAAATTCAGGTGCTTGGCAACTGGTTCATATTTGTGATGGTTTCAGTGTTCTAGGGTCATGTAATCACCTTTTGCAACCTTCTGACAAGCAAAGTCAATGGAAAAATCAGATTCACTTAACAACTGTGATTCTAACTGAACAACTACAGTGATTCACTTAACAACTGTGGCAAGATAGGTGATAAAATGGGAGAAAATTAACTTAACAAATGTCTCACTTAGCAACAGAACTTTTGGGCTCAGTTGTGATCATAAGTCAAGAACTACCTGTATTTCAGATTCATTATGTAGATTTTATGTGATTTGATAATGGAATAAAATAAAGCAATTAACTAATATTTAATCCTTTTCTCCAATAGTGAGAGAGTAGATGCTCTACTTCTCTTTCTGTGATCAAAATTATAAATACAATTATAACAGTGACTTAATAGAGGACAATATCTTTATATGCTAAAATTACAAGAAGTTGGCTTTTAAGGCAAAACTCTTTCTAATTAAAAAAAGGAACAGGATTGTATTTCTATTCCCAATATGCCTAGAACATTTTACTGAGAATGCTGTAGTATGTCATGTTTAATTATTCATGGCAGAATGAATTAAAACCAGAGGATTTTTAAAAAATGGCCTATACACACATGCTGGAAATTAGAATGATAATTCATTAATTTGCCTCATAGAGGATTACAACAACAATTGAAAATAATAAGCAAGATTTGATTTTATTTCTTTACACCAAAACAGCCCATGAAACCAGGCTAAAAGATGCTACATAAATAATAACAATAATCAGAGTTTCTCTCTTCCACAACGAATATAACAAAGAGATTAGGCAATGAACATCTGCCTGTGGATTGTCAATCACTGAGTATAAATTGTCCAACCACATGTGTGCATAGACCTGATAGGTCAGCATGAGATAGAAAGTTGAGACATTTACCTGTTCACAGACAATATCAGTTGATCCAGACAAGCTTTGATCTTGTTTTGTGCTTCTAAATGTGTCATATTTTCTGTGCTGTCACCATTAATTGACAAAATGACATCACCTGGGCAAAGGTTAGCAAGAGCAGCTTTACTTCCTGGATTTATCTATAGGGAAAAAAGAAAGACATGTTACAAACTATGAAATTTTGATTGTGTAAAACTCAGATCTGTCCCTTAAAGGACAAACATATGGAACAGGGAGATATTCTAAGATCCCAGTAGGTTATTCTGTACTTTTTGTTGCTGTTGTTGTTGCCTTTGAGTCAGTATTGACTTCTGGAACTGCCTAAACAAGTCCCTGCAATTTTCTTGGCAAGATTTCAAAAATGATTTGCTATTGCCTTCTTCTTCCTAGGCTGAGGGTGACTGGCCCAAGGTCAGCCAGCTGACTAAGGCGGGATTAGAACTCACAGGGTCCTGACTTATAGCCTGTTGTCTTAAGCACTACTGTACATCACACTTGGCTTTCTCCTGTCAATTAGAGGCTCTAAATACTACATCCTAGCTTGGGCATAGAGTATGCCAGTTAAAGAGTATGTGATCATATTTTCTACATCTGAGTATGGTATTTAGTGAAATTGCCCATGTTTTACCAGAGAATAGAACTGCTGAAGAATAGAATATAAATATAATCCATTAATTTGCAAAACTGAGTAACTAAGTTGGAAACAAAGCCACAAAATAATATACATTAAATATAGTGGTATTATCTCAATATATTTGCAAAAATATAACTTTTGTTTTTCAGAAAATAAACTCTTGTTGACACGTGACTTCTCTGAGAATTAGTGCACTCAGTAAATAATTCAAGCACAATGATTCTTGGGAAATCGTGTAAAATTATCTAAAAATGCTAACAAATGCCTAAAGCCCTAAGCTGAACTGGTAGGAGAGTACTGGTAATAGAAAACAGTACCATGCACCTTTTTCAGAATTTATCAATAATTAATATTTTTCCCTCTCAGTTTCCCCAAAGAAATTCATATTTCACACCATGACCAGAGATTCATACCTGAAGATTCACACCATGACCAGAGATTCATACCTGAAGATTCATACCTGAAGTAAATTATTTTGTTTTTGTGGCTTTATTTCCAATTTAGTTGCTTAGTTTTTCAAATTATACTTTGGCAATATTTTTAAACATGCCAGTATGACTTATTCAACAAACTATGATTTCTGGTTTAATGTTGTACATGAACGAAATTCATATTTCGTAGTAATAAGGTACCTTCATTTTTCAATAGGCAGATCAAAATTAAGTATGTAAATATTCTTCATAGTTTCTAAATGTTTGCCCTTTTAAAAACAAAATGTGATTTTTATATTTGTAACTTAATAAAAAGAATTCTTAAGAACTGATTACAATTCTGAAATCAACATTTTTAACTCAACATTCAACAAGTTCTAAAATCTGGCCCTAGGTATATTTGACTCTTGGAAATGTCCAGCCTTTAATCCCAAGTTTCAGTGCTTCGTGACATGGATCGGTTCTTTGATACCAAGCAATAAATGGTAAAATATTTCTGCAATTAAAAGAAGCAGTCAACATTATGGAAGCCATACTAATAACTTCCTGCTGAGGTGTTATCTTCCCCAACAGCTTAGCTTGGCTAGTACTCAAATAGCTTGTCACTTGCCAGTCGTGCATGAAATATCATGCTGTTTATTAAACTCTACAGCATTTTCCCTGGTGTTTTGTCTTAATGCCAAGATCTCGCACAGACTGTTACTTTGTTTGAAGTGACTAATGCTAGATACTAGCAATATTTCTAAGGCAACTACAACGCATTTTCAAACAAAACAAAATCCTTCAGTAAGCATTGATTACATTGATATTAAAAAAATTGAATTCCACATATACAGCTGACCTTAACAATAAGTCAGTGGCTAGTAAGTATATGTGTGCATTGATTTACCTCCTCAACCTAATATTCTCCAAGACATTTGGGACTGTATACTCAGCATGCTGGCTGGGGAATTCTGGGACTTGAAGTCCACATATCTTAAAATTGCTAAGGTTGAAAAACACTGCTGTAGTTTACGTAATTTTTAGTTGCAGAGGAGTAAGTTGGCAAGGACAACATTTATTCCAGAAGTTTCCTCAACACTCCTGGACTTCTGTTATTACTTTTGTTAACTTGTCATGAAAACATAGATAGTTGGCATTATCTAATGAGAAAATGCTCTGATGGTTTTAATCATATCTGCCCCATTAAACATAATATTTTATTGCAACTACAATCTTGTTGCTCAAGGTGTGTTTAATATGTAAATATTTTTCATCATCTCCAATTGTTTTTTTAAATAAAGAACATGTTGCTTCATGAGGATCAGAGATGAAGATATTTCCTCAGTATATACTATTTATTTTCCATTAAGGCACAGAAGGAGCTTTCTTTTTTAATTAAAAAAAAGAGAGAGAGAGAATTATACGAAGTCATTACTGGCTTTCAGAATCTGATAGGACATAGTACCCAGGTGTGATTTCTCTCTCTTGATCTTCTTTATTATGTTAAATAATATTATATTGGGAATAGTAGCATAGCTAAGCCAATGTTAGAGCTGAAAGACTGTAAAATTCTTGACACAAATCCATTCTATACCAGATCTATCATTTCTGGGCTGCAAACATTTACCTGATAACAAATTCAAAAAACTAAAACTCTCTTCTGTTATCTAGAGGTCATTAAGATTTTTGTAGCAGACAAAGAAGCTCTATCTAATCTGAGCTCCAAACTCATGAAGAGGCTCAATTTAAGTGCCTTTGTAAAATAACCTGTTAATTTACTATTACTTTTAATTTAACTAATATATTATGGCATGTGTTACACTTCTACTACTTTCCTGTTAACCTGCCCAGTTTAGGGTGACCACATTTCGACTATAATAATCTGGATCAACAAACAAATGGAACAAAGAAGGTTTTCTGTATCTCTGCTATCCATTATTTGTCTAAATTTGGTTTATGACACGGTAGCCCTTGACAACAACCACCAGAACTTTGTGGCCTTTGGGTATGTGTAGTTAATTCCTAAAGATTTATCTCTTTCTGCAATACTGAACTTCTCCCAAATGCCTCTTGACCCTCTTTTTCCCCTCAGTAGTCTTGATTGATTAAACAGTCTTGCTATAATGCAAGATTTCAATTTATGTAAGATTATTCCAGAACTACTCTATAAGTATTACTGATCCATTTCATTCAGATTACTGCATTTAGTTACACTCTCCCATGGCAATTCCCATATCCAAATAATAAAATCGCTTTGAAATATAGTAAAGAAAACCCAAGTTTTCTAGTCTGGTTTGTGCATAGTTTTAAATATATGTCCTTCCTAGGTATCTATTTGCTGTTCATAAATATTTTTTTCCCCCTGAAGCTGCCCTCTGTCCCAATAAGGTAAGGACTCCAAGAATTTGAACGAAAACTTTACTTTTTTGCCTTCAGATAGGACATGACTGATTACTGAACAAGATTATACAGTTGTTTGTCAGGAAATTTAGGCAAGCAATTTATTCTGATTTTGAGATAAATGTACCTTTTTTTAAAAAAATGCATAGGAAGGGAGGGGAATTAAATAAATGGTACTATCCATTTCTAAATTACTAGATTTTAACACTTACATAATCTGCCCTTTTAGGTAGGTCAGCTGAAGAAATAAATTACTCCAAGACTACTGGAATTCTGCTACTGAACGTCTCACAGAATTTCCCTCATACTAAAGAACATCAAAGTGTAGTTATCTTTAGTTTCTTTCCCATCCTCTCTTCCTTCCCAGGGCTATAGAGCCCTATGTAGAGGTTTAGCTAACCATTCTTGTGTTTCTTCTATAGTGTTACATATGCTTCTAGGCAGATAAGTCAGCCTTTGTTATAATATATTTTCTTAAAAAAATAATAAAATAAAAAGCTTATTTAGTTTAATGTTGTTTCCATTAAGACCTGGCAATGGCTTAATACAGACAAGGGAGAAAAACATATTACTTTTAAAAGATTATACAACTAAGTTGAATTAAAGCAGCCTTGCTAGAAATTGGGAAAACTGACACCATCAATTAGGGGAAAGCTGAATCAAAACAGTATTTGTACATATTGTGGTAAATAATACTCATTGATAATATTCAATCATATGTCACCTTCACAAACAATAGCTGAATTGTTTTGGCAGACATGAGTTAATTTCTTTAGGGTGGGAAATGAAAAGCCACTCCTGTCTTCCAAAAGATGATTTAAATTGACCTTTTTACATAATATGAATGAAGTGACTCAGTACAGAATACCTTGGATATTCCAGTTTATTTTTTTTGGCAGGACTGGAATATTTTCCAAAGTTTAAAACTTTCTATTGTGTTTGTAAAAGCTGAACGAAGTAACAGCATTCAAGAGACAATGTTACTCTTGTTTCTGGGTTGCTAAAGTAGATGCCTTCATCCAAGGCTGTCTCCCTTTTTAATGTTTGCATGATGTCTACATTCAGATTGATAACTGACATTATGAATGGGAAAAGAAGAGTATATTCAGAGTTTGCCTGGTTCATAATCTGAACAATATATTTCATGTAACCTTGCCTCACTCATGGGTTCAATTGTGGTGGCTTAGGCAGGAAGACTCTTTCTCTTATCTTCAGATTTCAATTCATTTAATCATAGTGATTTTTGTACAGTACTTTTGTAACCATGACCTCCAACATTTTCCCTATTAATTATTGTTCTGAGCAACCAGGAACAAAAGGATCAACAATGGCCATAGAAGAAAGACATATTTTCTTCTGTAGAAAATTTAAGGAAATTCAGATAAAACCTGACTTTAGTCTCTCAAGTGCCTTACTGCTGCCACTAGAGATTGGGAAAGGTTGGTGGGGCAAAGCAAGTTTGGGATTTAATAGCCAGTTTTCTCTGGGTCACCCAACCAGGAGACAGCAAGACTTATGAGTTTGCAGCAATCTGTCCAGCTGCTTCTCCCTAAAAGATGCAGGAGGAGGAAATTTTCCCTTTATAGTCCCAAGCCAGGTCAAGATCTAAATCACTTTAGACTTTTATCATTTTTGCCAGCTACTTCCCTACCCTTCTCCACTAAATTCAGTCCTACTCTGTTCAGTTTTGAGA